GTGAGTAAGTCAGTCAGAAACGTCAAACAGGGCATAGTTGATAAAACAATTCAAACATTTATAAAAATCTGCATCACTTGAAATTTATTTCTCCAGAATTAAGACGTCTTTAAAAAATAATTCCGTGTATTACATGACTTATAACCATATTTAAAGGAGGAAAACTCGCTATTTGATGTTTCAGAAGAATGATCCGGTGTAAAGAGCATTAATTTACTCTATTGGCTCAGTTTGATTAGAATATAAGGTATTGGAATAAAATGCTCTTTTATGCAAGGTGGGCGCCGCACCGGCTGCATAGTACAACTGAACGCAATGAATATCATTTTGTGCACGTCTAAACGCCTTCATTTTCAAGGTGGACTCAAAGCATTACATTCGATGCAGTCATATCTGAGGCATAATCAAGGCATAATGTGCAAAAGGGATACGCTTTCCCAACCGACTGAACTATTTGTATCGTGACTTAATAGTAACCTAAGAGACTATTACACCCATTTTGAGATGAAAACAAGGGTCACCTCTTAACATGCTTGACAAAATTTGCAGCTAGCTCGAGTTGGCGCTATGCGACATCGCATAACGACGGTGAAACTACCAAACCACGTATCTCGGTTTGCGACGTCGCAGACTTCCTGTCATACTTTATTTTTTAAATGGAAAACTACTTAACATCCAGTCTTGAAAATTTCTGTGATTTCTCCTCTTTTTGCGGAGAAAATTCCGTGAAAATTTCAAGGAATGATATTGATTTGGTCTACTTCAAAAAAATAAAATGTGAGCGTAGATTTTTAAACGCCGCAAACGAGATACGTGGTTTGGTAGTTTCACTGTCGATAAGTGGTATACCATGTACATGCACAGTAAAATCACCGTCAAAACGGGTGTTTTAAGCATCATTCAGTTTTCTCCCCAACATCCATCACGAGTGTTCAGTATGTTCAATATCGATGGTGAAACACCTAAACCACGTATCTCATTCGCTGCACGCAAATACCTCCGCTAGTATTTTATTTTTTTATGGAAAAACAAATCAACGTCATACTTTGACATTTTTTTCAAAATTTGCTTTGGGAAGAGTAGGAAAATCATCGACATTTTTAAGAGTCGACGATGTGTAGTTTTCCAATTAAAAAATAAAGTATGAAATGAAGTCTGCAACGTCGCAAACCCGGGAAGCGGAGGCTGGTAGTTTCACCGCCGATATTTAATGTAGCTTGATGAAGAAGAATTTTCCTTTAATGCACTTACATTATCCACACGTAAAAAATTAAAATTTCCCCGGCGTTTTGGATAATTTTTTGTTCAAATCGAGGAAAATCTGTGTACTGTTTTAAAGCGAACGAGATGAATGAACGGAAAATGTTTCGAAGGAAAATGTATGTACTTTCAAGTAATCAATTTCAGCATCATTACATTACTTGCGTCAATGTTCTAGATTCTGATATTAAAGTAAAAAAAAAAAAAATATCTTCATATTTTCACCTCTGTCAGAAGGTTATATTGATTTTTTGCTTCTACCCGAAGCATTTTTTTTTTAAAGCAGTTCGAATATCTCCAACATCCTACTCATCCATACTTTAGCGTCCGTCGCACGACCTCTGTCGCTGCAACAAATGTGGTGTCAGGCTTGGGGTTGAATAATTGCATATAACGACGGTGAAACTACCAAACCACGTATCTCGGTTTGCGACGTCGCAGACTTCCTGTCGTACTTTATTTTTTAAATGAAAAACTATCCGTGAAAATTTCAAGGAATGATATTGATTTGGTCTACTTCAAAAAAATAAAATGTGAGCGTAGATTTTTAAACACCGCAAACGAGATTGGTAGTTTCACCGTCGATAAGCTACAAACAAGGAGGTATACAAAATAATGAATGCAACCTAATTCCAATTTTAATGTATGAAATAAATTTATTTATTCATTTATTCTTTATATAAGAAAGGCAAAATCTAAAACCCACATTAGATTTTGGTCACAATGCATTTCCGGTACCCAATGCTTTGCAAGTACTAAAAACAAGTTATTATGTACAAATTCAAATAATTTACAAACAAGTGTCCGTTAGGAGCGATTGAATGAGATTGTTAAAATTTAGTTGCGGAGCAAGACGTTACCGTGAAGTCCATATCTTTCATCAACAATTGATTACTATTATAAGTTCTCGTTTTATATGAGCCACATATTCACATTCAATAAATCTTTCTTGTATATTTAATTTTTACCCCCTCCTTTTTTCCAAAGATAAAATCTAAGGCATAACACAAGAAATACCCCCTTAAAACAGATATACAAATACCATGCATCTATAAATTTTCCTCAATTTCAATGAGGCGAAGACGGAAAAATATTCAGTTCTCAAAAACAAATTTCAATCACGTTATTGATTTTTAACATTGATGTTTCCTACCTTTATTCACATTCAATAAATCTTTCTTGTATATTTAATTTTTACCCCCTTCTTTTTTCCAAAGATAAAATCTAAGGCATAACACAAGAAATACCCCCTTAAAACAGATTTACAAATACTATGCATCTATAAATTTTCCTCAATTTCAATGAGGCGAAGACGGAAAAATATTCAGTTCTCAAAAACAAATTTCAATCACGTTATTGATTTTTAACATTGATGTTTCCCATCTTTGAGTAAAACGTAAGCACTTTTCCATTTTCTCGCAAAAATCATTTGATCAGATTTAAAAAATGGTAGTCAAATAAAGTTTTCGCAATTAATATCTCAAAAATCAAAACAGAGTCAACAAAATCAACAGTAACATCATATAATTACAATAACTACGAGTTGCTATAGAGTTTTCTCGAGAAAAACGAGAGATAATAACAAAACATGTGGAACAACTGTACATTTTTCTTTTTTATCTATTTAATCCTAAAACACTTTTCCAGAAAATGTCAGGGCTTCTAAGCTTACCACATGCAAATAATAGTCTTTTAACCATCATTACCTCATCAATGAGAAAAATATATTCAGGATAGTAAATACACTTGAAACCAGCAAGGAAATGATTCAACGGTTTGATGGCAATAGCTATATGTACGTTTTCAAAGCGAGCATAGAATGCGGCAGTTTGGTCACCAAAGATTTCATTTCATTTAGAATAATGGAAACTTAACAAATGCTTGAATGGTATTCATCTCAAATGAAAATTCAAAACGCGCCTTGTTAAATATTATTTTTAGGAGATATAATAATGTTTTGATCTTGGGCCTGATATATTTTTTATGAGGTTGTTTCTAAGTATATTTTAAAGGAATAGTTCAGACAAGTGGCACTGATAGCTAAAGTCGAGAAATGCGTGACGTCATTATAATGTTTGAAAAAGTCCTATTAAGTTCTATATAAAAAGAAGAAAAAACCAAGAAACTTGATTAAACTATATCCTTGAAATTACGTGTGAATTTATTTTGTGGTAAATCAATCTGCACGCACAAAATAATGAAAAACGTTGGTTATATTCCTTCTTGAGAAGGTAAATCATGACCTGGACTTTTGCAGCTCCACCATGTTTGAGGTCATGCATTTTTCGACTTTAAACTCGGATCACGCACTGCAACTTTTGCTGAATCTGGAGTTGGATAAGTCGGCGCTCAGCATTCTTGATTTCTTTATTTTGCAATGTTTTATTTATCAAATCCACACTATTTTTATTCAAATCGCTCCGTAAAAACTGATACCTGTTGAATCTCGATGTCATCGGTCATTGTAAAAATTGCGCAGGTCGAGCGATGGATCTCTCGGCAAAGTATGAATAAAAGCATTGTACGCACTCATTTAGGCGTCAAATTCCGAATTTTTCGTTAAGTCACGGGCTGTTTAGACGTACCGTCCGTTTCGGGTTTGGAGGCCGGAAGTTCCGGACACTGGAGTCGTTGCGTCAACTACTCCAGGTTCAGTGACCAGAGCTGCTACACCCGGAGCTTTCGACTTCTGGGCCAGAAATAGACGGTATGTCTATATAGTCTATAACGAGTCGGCGACTTTCACAGCTGGAGCTTCTTTTCGATGCAATTTTGAAGAGAGAATACATGACAGTGCTTTCTGGCTCAGACATTTGCAAGTAACCCATTTTCATGCTGAGTACTCAAAAACTCATCGGTGACACCCAAGGCTCGAAAAGTTGCAGAGTTTGATCATCCCAGCTTTAGTAATGTACTTACAGAGCCCATCAAGTATTCCAGAACAGGAATAAAAACAAAAACAAAAAATTCGACAGAATAAAACTCCTAAAATTCCAAAATCCTTAAAAATCACAGTTCCATTTTTGTCGCTAGCCGTATATCAAGGCTAAAGTACAAATGCAAAACCACGTAACTCCATTATGATGTCTCGAAATATACGCTTCCATTTTTTTGAGGAGAAACAGGCCGACTTTATACCGTGAAATTTACATAGAATATCCTCTTGACAGAGGAGAAAACTTAAGGTAGTTTTCAAGAAATTACGTTGACTTGCTCTCCTGGGAAAAAATAAAGGTTTATTGGAAGTTTGCAACGTCGTAATCGGGAATACGTGGTTTCGCACTTCACGCCAACTTCACATGCTGAAAATGATAGCTGGGAATGGAAGCAACTGATGCATCGTTAAGTGGTGCCCTGGAGCCGAATTTTGTCGGCTTTTTCACACGAAATGCAACAGCAATCGACGAGTTCAAACCGCACCACCGGCCAATCAGAAGTGCTAAGCCGGACTTCAGTGCAGTCGAGACCCGTCCCAAGTATATTTAAGTACGATGGAAGGACCGACAAAATTTGGCCCCTGAAGAGTGGGCTACAATGGCATGGTTACACGCTCACATTTCCGTCCAATTCCGATCAAAATGATGACCAAGATGGCGGTCGAGAGTTATCTAGATTGATGAGTAAAATTAATTAAAACAGCGTGTTGATTGAAATAAGCACGGTAGTGTGGAATTCAGATGAAGGATGAGCCCCACAGTTCCATCATCTACCATCAAATTTTTGCAGGCCGCAGAAATTTGATGGTAGATGGTTCGCACTAGTCACCATTTGATCGGAAATTGATGGGAATTTGAGCGTGTAACCATCACATGAGCCATAACTTTCAGCAATCGATGAGATCGGGGTTAGTCACTAATCAGTCATCATTTCACTTCTGTTCATAAAATGACGGCCTGAGTTGTAAAGTTACTCGTTATACTGTAAAAAGTTGTGAATTTGTAAAAAAAATCGTAACATTTTTTGTCTAAAGCGAACAAGACCTAAATATGGGTTTCCAGGGTCAACATTCAACAGCGACACCGATGACCCATTTTCAGGACTCCATTTTCAGCGTGTGAAATCGGCTCTAGCCAATGATATTCTGCGAGGACTTCCGCGCAGAGGTCGCAATCCTGCGGCACCGCGGACTTCAGACTCGGTTGATGAAATATTTACGATGCGGGTGAAACCGCGAACCGTTATCATGACTCATCGTTGAATCTGAAACAGATGAAATGAGTCGGAATCTGATCAGAGCCCAGCGGCGAATCCTCGCCCCGCGATGGGGGGAGGGGCAGGGGCTAGATGTCCGGCTCGTAGCTCAGCGAAGTTTTTTTCATCTCCACCATCGGCATTATCGCCGTTTCCTGCAACAACAACAGCGACAAACTTCAATCCTCAGGCGATGCGATCGGGTAGTCGGATGCACGCTTGGCTAACGCATATTTCACGCTTATGTTAGGCGAATTTACGCGAGTGGATTCGGTTGAGTTTTTGACTTACTGCCAACCGCCGCGCAGTGAATCGAGTCAATAGGAGAGGTCGGACAATATTTGAAAACTTTAAACGATTATAACTCCATTTATACAAAACTTTGAGGTTCTAAAGGTCGTTCTATTGATTTTTTTGTGAATTTTTATTTCAGAATCATATCCCTTAAATTTAAAATCTGACGGAATAAACATCAAAGTTTGCAGTTGTATTCAAAAATTGTATGTCCGACCTATCTGATTGAGACGATCCTCTGTGCGCAATTATAAGAAAATGAAATTTTCTCCGGATGACGCACAGTGGATCGAGGCAGTAGGAGGGGTCGGACAAAATTTGGAAACTGTAAACGCTTAAAACTCCATTTATACAAAACTTTGAGGTTCTAAAAGTGGTTCCATTGGTTTTCTTGTTAAATTTCCCTTCAGAAACATCTCTTAAATTTAAAATCCGACGGAATAAACATCAAAGTTTGCAGTTGTAGTCAAAAATTGTATGTCCGACTTATCTGATTGATTCGATCCACTGTGCGCAATTATAACAAAATGGAATTCTCTCCGGGTGACGGTGCGCCTACAACATTTGAACCGATTATTTTCCAAATCACGTACGCGCCAATCTCTATTTTGGTGGTAGAGGGGTTGATATTTCTCAGTTTTCTCTGGTGTATAATCAATTTTGCCTACTTTCAAAATAGCCTCCTAAAAGAGCATCTACTTTTGGAATTCGAAGATTGTCAACAAGCTGAATAAAACGGGGTATCTTGTTTTTCTTGCAATCGAAATTTTGGCGCTTACTTGATTTGGAAAATAATCGTTGAAGTTTCGTGTTATTTCCAAAGGGCCCCAGGAAGTGGGCATCAGGCAGATAAGCCATAGACAACTTTCAAAAAGAGGGGGTGACAATCGGCCCTCGATTTGTACTGTGTCGATTTATACTGTGGCTCTTGGTTTTTCTTTGACTTTGCTTCGATTGTTGGTGGGTTTTGCCTAATGAGGTATACGAAGAAATCTAACTTGAATAAATGAATAATATCATAAATTGTAGTTATCAATCTGTCTCACATACGATTTTAAGTGCTCTCTAGTACTTCGGAGTGAACTGCAAAAATTTATGCTCCAAAATTTTTGAAATCACATGCAAACAATTAGAACTATCTGTAATAGTTTGCGAAATACTTTGTTCATTTAGGTTAGGGTTCTAACGAATCTCTCTCTGCCATCGGTGACCAACAGCCCAACAGCGGCGATTTTGTAAGTTGGCAACAATCTTGTTCCTCCATTAAATCCAAAATATCGATTTTTGAAATAACGGAAATGATCGATTTACCAAGAATCGATTTTTTTACATACATTCGTATGGAGGAAAAACAGTCTTAACTCTCAAGAATCGCCACTGGTGAACGAGGTAAAAGTGCCTACCGATGCAATCTCTTGAAAATATACCATACGAAATGAGTCAGTCGTGCGTTATTTAGGGATTTTTTTACTTGTCTGACGTGATTTTAGTGTAATTTTACCATTGGTAAGTCTATCTAATTACATTGAATCTCTTATGTACCCCATTCGGTTATGACTACACAGGTCCTTGAACTTTCCGAGATGAATTATCCCGCGTATTTCGAACAGCTTAACTTCGTCTCATAGTTTCAAATTGATTTTTAATGAGCAAAAAGTACTCCATGTGAGCAAAAACAAGGTTGCATAAGGGCAGTTTTGAAATGAGCCTCTGTGTCGTTTTCCACGGGAACCTTTTAAAAAACACATTAATTCCTGTGGTTGACGTTCACGGCATGTCTACCTGAACGAAGACAGAATGACACTATTTTTTCTTCTAAAGCACTATCCGTCTGGAAATTTCTCCGGTTTTTTTTCAAGCTGCGATGAAAATTCTGAGAAATTTTTAAAAGGTCCGACGGCTGTTTCATCGGAGAACAAAGTGTTGAGTGAAACGTTGGCAAAGCACGCGTGCCCTTTTAATTGTTAGGGGGCAATTTAGATCATTAAAATATATTTTGACTTTTTTTGGAAAAAGTTACGTAATCCCAACTCTTCATGCTGGCAGTTCTGTCAGTCTCGAAAAAAAAGATGCTTGAAAATTTTTAAAAAGTAAAGACTGAGGGGAGGGTCTTTCTGACTGCAGCGCAGTATTAACCTTTGACGGTATTTGACGGAGTTAAAAACAGGCCCCCTTAATTCGCGCAATTTATTCTGGTACGGCATTTTTTACTTTCTCGCTCGCCTCGCCGGTAGAGGAGGTATTGTCACCCACCCACCCCCTTCCCAAGAAAAAAGTTGCAATTTCATCATATCCAAGCGTTTTGACGTACTTGGAGTCATAAAAACTATATTAACTTGAAAAAAATTGTGCCCGTCCGTCCGGCGTTCCAGTTTTCTGTGCACAGTCATACCTTAAAATATTTTTTTTCAATTTCATTTAAAATTTGTATGGAGGACCATATTGATGGTCTCCTTATGCACGTCAAGTGAGTTTGGGGGTACGCCAAAATTTGGGGGGAGGGTCTAGGGGCAAAACATAATTTTTTTCTTCTTCTTGGTGCTTATGCTATCAATTTGATATACTTTGATATATTACGTTTCTGTGTGGACGTTTGCATCCAAGACTTCGCTGATAAATGAAGCGTGGAAATTCAAAACCTAGTGATCGCCAGCAAGTGTTGATAACATTGCGGTACTGTTACTCTCATTTAACACAAATTCTATTCCCTGAGGGTAACGTTTCTTGTCATATAAATGCGACTTTATAACTTAGGGAGAATTCCTGAATAAAATGTCCATACACTGTGAAAAAGTCTATTGGATCCAGACTTTTAAAAATTTGACAAGGAAAAATACTCGTGATTCAATCAGAGTTCTGCTTGAATTAAGAGCGAAGACTCATAATTTAATGAGATTTCCTCTTGTTTTTAAATGTCCATTTTTTTATGTCACATTTTTTAAGAGTCTGTACTCGGATCCAGTTTTTATCCCGTGTAAAATTGATAAATTCAAGTTATTTTACTGGACATGACACCGCACACACTCTCGGCAACACTGCCACGCTAAGGAAGAACGCCGTATGAACATTCGAGAGTTGCCAAATTTCCTTCGATACAATGTTCATTTCTGAGGAAAGTTATGAATATTTTCCCTAAAAATGCTCAGGACTTTTGGTGGAATTGCTAGGAGAATTCTGAAAAATTGGAAGAAAAATATTCATATAAGGTTACCGGGAAATTCGTGTTTTACCAAAGGAAATTTGGCAACGCCTGAAGGTTCATACGGCGTTCTTCCTTAGTACGGCCGAACACCTAGTGTCGCTTACCAAGTTTTCAATTTCCACTCTTCACATTCTGAAGTCAATACCCGAAAGGGTTCAATGCGGGGACTATATGTTTGGTTTTCATGCGACGATGCCATTGTGAGCCGAGTCTTTGTCGGGGGATGGGGAGCCGAGTTTGTGTTGGTGTTTGACAAACAATCGGATTCGGAGCAAACAGGGAAACGGGAGACGAGTCGCGGGCGGAGGCGAAGGAGCGAAAGGGTGAGACTCACCCCGTTGAGGTGGAGGGGTAGCTCGAGGGCGGCAGGCACGTAGGTGGTGGCGGGGGAGCAGCGGGTGCAGCTCCGTTTGAGGGCCGGCCGCTGTCGCGAACCGTGGCACCGCACCGCGAACCGCAGCTCTTCCGCCATTTCTGAACACAGCGATTGCTGGAAACGAAAATTGGAATTAACTCGCTTGCGTAATTACGTGGGTTTCAATATTTACCAAAAATACAATTAACAGAAAAAGCCTCAATTTGAAATTGATCGGATTTTTTGAATGGTCCAGTTACACGATCAAATTGAGCCATCAAATTGAAGCTCTGATTGGTGGAAAAAGACCTGAGGTGAGGATGCGACCAATGAGAGGCTCAATTTGATGGCTCAATTTGATCGTGGAACTGGACCTGAAGAGACATTGCGCGTTCCAACTTTAAAAATTAAACATTTCTGTTCGTATTGGTCAGATAGGCAAACCAGGCATTTTTCTTTAAAGCGCTTTGCACACGTTGCAAGTGTTTTGCTCAAAGTGAAGGTCATTGGTGCAACTTTCATCGATGATCGTGAAATTTGATGCAAAAATCCTCATCGATGAGTGATGCATTGATGATCCCAACTTTCAATTTAAAACTTGCAACGTGTGCAAAGGGCATAAGGTGGTTCCTCCCAGGTTGTGAACACACATCGATGCATCGAACAAATTTTGCTAAATTACGCGTTTTGCTTTAATTTTTTTGTAGAAACAGAGAAGGAACAGTGTGTAAGTATTCTTCAGCATTCTTTTGGTGAAAAATATTTTACGGAAACCCTAAATTAAAGCCAAATGAGACTAAACGCGAAATATCGCATTCGATTGGTGCCAATCGAACTGTATGTAAGAAGGTGGTAAAATGTTGCCGGGTCTACACTTTTTTGCGGGAAAAACAAGGCAAAAAGAGAGCTCTAATTTTTTAATCTATTGGAAATTTTTCAGCTTTTTGATCTTGCTCGCCTCGCAAAATAGTGTAGACCCGGCACTAATTTACCACTTTGTTTTATATACGAGTACATTAACATTTTAAGACATTTGATCATTTTAATATTTATCTAAATAGTCAAAAATTATTACTCATGGCGAAATGGTCAAAAATTATTACTCATGTTAAAATTCTAAGTATTTTTTTCAATTCCTGCATAATTTTTCATTAAAATTTTGCTACATTGGTTCAAAATCCGAATACTCGTTTCTTTGGAAATCTACCAGAATTGCAGCTGTTAGATAATGAACCAGTCCAGGTAGTCCAAGCTATTTTTCAACGGAAAATAAAGGGAGAAAAAAAATCAATACTTACGCGGTCTGTCTGAGCATTTTTCTTCGAGTTCCAACAGAACTCTAGAATGGCAACTAATATTGCCAACGCTAATCCACAGAGGAGGACGACAAAAACTCCCCCTAAAAACAGCAAAGAGAGTGGACATATAAATTACCGTGGTGCAGCGGCTAATCAATGCCTAAAAATAAAACAATTCAAAAAGAAGTGAAAAAAAAACTTCCATAAAATCTTTGAATTTGTTATAATTGTTTTCGGGAATGGCACAAAAATACACGGCGTTATTGACAATCAGTGCCATTTTGATGGAAGAAGGCATGTTTCAAACTTTTCGTTATTAGGAGCTGATCTTATTTTCTGAGGATGAATTGGTTTTTTGAAACTAATAAGTGCCGAAAATTTTCTTAGAATCTCGTCGATGCAAACTTGCAGAAATTAAAATAAAAAAAATGAAGGATCATTTTTTTTGTCTTAGAGAGTAGAAAAATTCAAAATTATCTTTAACTGATTTCATTTCAGTAATTAAACTCATTGACGATTTTTTTTTTTATAGAGATCGTTCTTCAATATTGTAGATCTTCCTCAAATTATTGGCAAAATTGAGGCAATAGGATTACATTGTCAGACTTCGTATCGTCTTCAACTCAAATAAAAAATGCACCAACATGGCAACATGGTTTCTTGAGTTATCATTGTGCTTATGCATGTGGCTTTCAATTCAACGGTGAAAAGACAGCCTGTAATTGAAATGTACCTTGGGAAAATTCCGGACACATCCGGGAACTTGCATTTAAGAGAGGAGCTTAAAACGTTTTCCAGTGGCGCGGGGGAAATTTCGCAATCCACAGTGGGCACCAACTTGGTTTTCAGAGACAAAAAATAAGTTTGAAGGAACTGTCATGAAAATTAAATAAGTAAATGTCAAGTACGGTAACTCCATCGAAATGTTTTTATTTACTCCTATTACAAACCCATGTGAATTTTAGCAGCAGTCACTCAAAAGCGCCAAGACTACGGTTTAGCACAAACAACCTTCGTCTGCTCCAGAGTAAATACCGCCATGGACAAGTTTTTTTCCCTCCTTTCATTTTAATAGTTAAACTGTTCAAGTTGAATTTCCACAATTATTTGCTTTTACTGACATTTGATCATAATAGATACCGTAGCCGGAGATTAGAATTTCGATTTTGTGATGGAGGTTGAGAGTCAGTTAAAAACTGAACGATCATACCCTTCAGCGAAAATCCGATATTAATCAGAGTGTTTAAGATTTCTAAAATTCTTAGAAATTGACTTGGTTTTAGGTTCCCCCCTTTTTTTTTTAAAATAAAAGCACATACGAGTACTCCGCGTAGAACAGCATCTGTGATGGAATCAGACAAGGCTACACGATGTGCCATGACGACCAATTTTTTTTTGTCAAAACCGTTTCCGCACAATCATAGAGATTTTCAGTTTCACAAACCATTGCTAATTACGTTTTTCCAAACTGTGGTATCTAGTAATGCTGAAGCGATGATCCTCGATCAACTCACTCGAATCTCGAGGTTTGTTAGGGTAAATGCTTCTACACGCAAGGAAAACATGTCTTGAGCACCAATAGCTGCATCCAAGTGTTGTGATCAAGCAGGTCAGAACGCCTGCAATTTTGTGGGTATGCAATTAGGTCATCCCTAGAGCACGAATAGTTGTATTCACGCGTTGCCATTTAAAATGCCGCAGCGCCTTCAATTTTTACTGTCTTATCTTATGTTTCATATTGTTAATTTATATCGCCTGTGATAACAAAATACGTTAATTGTTACGGCATTGCACTTCCATATTCTTGTCGCACAAATGAGGAATATTTCAGGTATTTAGTAAAATTGAGAGGAGAATGGTACATAATGCTCATATATGAGGTTAGAGGCTGGTTGTTGTGGCGGTCAATCTAATTTTATTTGAATCTTATTTTTTGGTAATTTCCCATTTCACCTTCATTTACTCTTCTTTATATTACTTGAACAAATGAAAACACATTGTCTTAAAATCTTGCGTGCGCGATAGCGTTGTGGAACTTGCGGTATTGTTTTTGACAAACGTGTGCAGAGTTATATTCGCCCAAATTTTGCGAAGACGTTTATGCACTCCAATAACTAATGATCAATTAGATTATTTTTTTACGCGTAAAAGGCATGATAATCAATGTTACGCATCTAGAAATTTCCAAAATGAGTGCTCATTTCATTTTTCAGAACTGTCTTTTTGGCACATTCCCGCATATTCAGCACACCAGCTCACACAATCTTAAATCGAAACACCATTGGGTACCAGTTGAAAATACTGCCGAGCTTAGGAAGAACACCGTATGGGCCTTCAGACGTTGCCATATTTCCCTCGTCAAAAAAGAATTTTCTGGGAAAATTGCGAATATTTTCCTTCAATTTTTCTGACAATTTTGATCACAGTCTAATCTAAAATACCCGACAATTTCAAGGGAAAATATGCATAACTTTCTTCAAAAATACATGTTTTATCCGGGGAAATTTTGCAAGTCTCGAATGTTAATACGGCGTTCTTCCTTAGCACGGCAGAACAGGAGCATAGAATTTCTAGCTGTACCGGCCAAAATTTTTGGAATACCCTAGTGTGCGCCGAGCGCTTGAAAACATTTAACTCGTGCCGAGAAAACTGCATTAAGTGTTTTTGTGGCTCGCCTTCGGAGCCATTCAGCTTGATGACTTGAATTTTGACCGTTTACAGACTCGATGGGACGGGTTTTTCGGAGCGCGCCGGACGATAAAAAATGGTTAATGTCTGGAGAACAATAAAAGGGACGCTGCGGATTATGAAGGGGGAAGGAGCGTTTATCGCTCATCTCGGGGGTGTGAATTGCGCCCGTTAACATTACAGTAACGCTATCTACCGAGCGAAAGGGCCAAGTTGCCGAAAACGCTCATTTTTTGACGTTCTTATCTCCGGGGGGGG